TAACAGTTTCAAGGACAACTACTAGAAAATTTGATGAAATTTCTAGCAGTTATATGAAAACTGCTAGAAATTTGTAGCGCTACCCCTCGCCGCCACCTGCATGCAGCCACATATCAGGACTCCTCGAGAAAAATAAATTATTTCTAGCGGTTTCCAGGACAACCACTAGAAACTTTAATGAAATTTCTAGCAGTTTTTGAGTTGCTAAAAAGTACAACATTTCTAGCGGCTCCAGCAACAAAACCGCTAAAAATTAAATACTGAAAATATGGCGCCAACTTTGTGTCAAATGGCGCCACAGTTGTGGCAGTCATTTTCTAGTGGTTGGGTCAAAACTACTAGAAATATGTGGGATCCACACCATTTCTGGTCAAAATGATGCAAATTTCTTGTAGTTTGTGTTATAACCATTAGAAATATTTATTTTTGTAGCAGTTTTTTTTAACTGCTAAAAAGTGACCGCTGGTAATTCATTGTTTTTTTGTAGTGCAAAACAGTTATGTTAAAATGGATGTGAGTGTATCATTTTAAATACTTCAAGATGAAAATTGCACTACAAATAACTTCATGACATTAGGTGCTTCAAAATGTTGGGGGCACCTTAACTCTAAGAAAAAAGACAATAAAATATTCTAGAAATTGTTAAATCACAAATCAGAATAGGTAAATTTCAAAATCCCAAATTATATCCTTTGTACTAATTTTAGAATTTTTAAATATTGCAAAATGATGCAAATGCTCTTTACGCTTTCTTTTCTTTTCTCTCTCTTGTTTTTAAGAATGCCACATCAGTACCCCTAGCCGGAAAGTGACTACTGAAGCTCCAATGGATACTCCTTTTTATGTTATTGACTGCTATTGTTTAACTATTGACTACATTTGTTTCTAGAGCTATGATGACTATTCTTATTGAGCTATTAATTACTTTAGTATCGTGATTGACTAATTTTGCTAGTTTTTAAAAATTTGGTGACTACTCTTATTTAATTATTGACTACTACCTCTTCCTCTTATTATAAGAGACTACTAACTAATTCATATATACCAATAAAAACAGTCAAATGTATTAAATTTGTCATAAAATTCAAGTAATTTTCAACATTATCTCATTAACTACACTAAATTCTAACATTATATTAATTTCTACTCTCACACTACTCTTATTAAACATGAGTATATGGGGAAAAATTTTATGTTCATTGAAATTATCATAGGACTAGAGGAGTAACGTATAATATTATTATATATATATGTGCACACAACTTTGCACATGTTAATTGAGCTGAGAATTGATAGCTTACTTGTCACATTTGTTGTAGATCTGAATCATCTTCCACATTATATGCTTGGTATTGTGGTGGACTTATGTACATAGGATATTTGTATACTAGATTTATCACAGTTTCATTGGAAGGAAGTTGTAGCGTTTGCTCAATAACTTCCTTTGATCTACCCAAGGTTCCTGATGACCAAATTACCTCAGTACGTAATCAGGATAATGTCATTCTACAAGATGAAAACATATTAGAGGAATCAAAGCAAGATAATTTTAGGTGTTGCCAAGCCAAACAATACTCTAGAATCAATTAGCACACTTTAAAAGATTCAAATGGTTGCCAAATTATCTTGTCATCAGTCATTCTGTTAGAGAAACTCCTATATTGTCATAAGAATGTGGTAGCTGGACAAGGGTTGTCCTACATTTTTCCATTTAGCATTATCTACTTGAGGATATATGCACGAATGACTTGTTGAACTTGTAAATTGTTTGCATTATTAAGTAAGTGATTAAAGTGGTCTTTCAACCAACTCATAAATAGTCATTGTCCATGCATTTTATCTGCAAGTCGTATAATACCTAGAAGCCATTCACAAATATCTAACTAATTAAAGTCAATTTTCACAATGAAAGGTATTCTTACACATGGGTTAATACCCAACTGTATAACAACATCCTCTAATGTTATTGTGTATTCTCCACGTGGAACATGAAATGTGTAAGTTTCAAGACATCACCTCTCAATAAGGGTTGAGGCCAAACTCCAATCATAATCAAATTGTCCTACTCGAGCAACACCCTAAAATTCAGGTAATCTAACATATTTAAATATTCCATTAGGTGGCTTAATCATTCGACTAATGTACGTGATTCGTACTATTGTATTGTATATGATTTGAGAAATCTACAAAGGAAAATACAAGAAAGTTAGTATCAAAGCATAGAATTAATAAGTATTAGTCATCTTTACCAAAATAAGCATTAGTCAAGATCATTTACTTACATTGCCATTCCACACTTGTAGTTAAATATGTTGGGTTCATAAATACAAAAGCGAGTCATCCTCTCGGCCAAACATGAGTCCTTATTCCATATATTGGCACACAACTCTACACATGATAATTGAGTTGAGAATCGACAACTCACTTGCCACATTTGTTATACATCTTAATCATCTTCCAAATTACATGCTTGGTATTATGGTGGACTTATACACGCAAGATATCTGTATTCTAGATTTGTCACAATTTCGTTGAAAGAGAGTTGTAACTTTCATCCAATAACTTCTTTCAATCTACTCAACGTAATATTTGAATGAATTTTACTACTTTTACTTTATTAAATTCAAATGTTGTACCTCTCAGGCCTTTAAAAATTCATCTATTTGCAAATTATACGCACAAATTCTTTTTAGTTATCTATTCTGCTTTCAAAATATTTTATTATAACTATTAATCAAGCAAAAGTATACTATGAAACTAAATTAACTCCACAATATCATTATTTTCTTATTGAATTATTTTTTTTTAGAAGAGAGTGGTAGAACTAATCATTTACTAAAATTGTAAAAATTAGGCTACTCTTTTATTAAAAAACTCACCTGACACTTCAAATGTTAGTTATTACATTTTTAATTAAGTTAGTAACATGTAATATCTTTAAAAGAATTAATTATTAATGCATTATGAAAAATGTACATTGTTAAATACAATTATGTAGTGATTTTTGTGTTCAAATTTTTTGTACCAAAAATAAATAATAAATATATTTCACTCATGTTGAGCACCTCTCATTTGAAGAAGATTATGAACCTATGCCATGTTTAGCTACTGATCAGGTTCAACCCTCCCCAGCCCCCCCCCTTTCCGGGGAAATAAGTAGGGCAAGCGTGAGCTTGTAATGTCAGACAAAAACAACACTTCTAAACCTACGATAAAGACATCCTATGGCTGTTCACCAAATAGCTACTGATAAGGTTTGAATTCGATATTCCCTTCATTTTGCAATAACGCAACATTAGACACCATCATTCATGAGCATGAAATTAAATGAAACATATATCGTAAAAATAAATTTAGAATAAAAAAATTAATATATTAAATTGTTCATGGGATGGGACAGGGATAGACCCATCCTGGTCTCATCCAGATGAACAGGCATGGAACAGGATTTCTGTCCTATGTCTCCTCCTAATCCCTAGATGTCCCGTTTTCCTTTTTGTAAAAACAAAAATTGTAACTCCTTGTGTGAATTTTTTACGTTATAATGTTTTTCTTTTCATTGAGTTTCTAAATATAAAAAAATTACAAAAAGTATTATGTAAAAAACTCAATTATATAATATTAAAAAATGTAAAAATAATACTATAAAAAAATTACCATAAAAGAAACATTTCGTAATGGCTTTATGAATTATTTTATTAAGAAAAGAGATTTTGTTGAGATAATAAGCAACTTAAGAGCTAAAAATTACTATAAAAAATCATCATCATTAACAAGTGAATGAATAATCTATAATAATTATTAATAATAAGTTTTTTTTTTTAAAAAAACATCGGGACAGGACAAGATGACCTTGTCCCGTGTCCCATGCTGTCCTGATTACTGTTCTATCTCATCCAATAGTCTTCCTGTCCTGTCCGTCTTGAATTGATTGGGACCAAGATGTGACATATTGAACACCCATAGAAGGAAAAACAAGTGACTTCACTTCCATTTTGCTATAATCACATAAACAACTCCTTTTGTCAAATTTTTAGAGGCCGTTCGAAATATTCCGTCAAAGATCGAACCTTACCAAAAATTTAAGAGACAAATATCTTTGCAATGCCTAATATTGTTAATTAATTCTGTCCCTGCAAAATTTCAAAATCTCACCAAATTAATCCGTATTTTAAATATAAGATATACCTTCTAAGCTAAGAGATAAAAAAATCATCATTAACGTGAGCACTGTATTTGTCTCTTAGGTTTCTGGTAAGGTAAAGTACTTGTAATTAATGTAGAATTTACAGTGTTGACGCCAATGATGAATATAACCACTAAGAATTTATCATATCTTTAAAATAAAGATTAATTTGGTAAGAGTTTGAAATTTCGAAGGGACAAAATCAATTAACAATATTACTCACAAAGGTATTTGTCTAGTATAAATTATATATTACCAATTAAGGTATGGTAGAGTGTGTGTGTGTTATACATAACTTGGATAGTCCGTTATTTTTCAGAAGAAGCCCTTCAACCCACAAATTCCCAGTCCACTTTCTTTGGTTCTTTATAGTCATCCTTTGTTATCTCTTCCTAAACGTTGACTCATCTTTATCTCATTAATTGCTATCTTAATATTAGGACAAACGTTGTGTATATATAGTCAAATAAAAATCCTAGCAAAATAGTCAAAATCAAATATCACAATTTGTCACACTGGCAAAAAGTTGAAATTTAAATCATTTTAAAGAAAATACTAACCTTTTTAGACAAAAGGCTACTTATTCAAAGAAAATATGCAAAGTACAAATAATTAAAGAATTTAAATAGGCATATCACTGACAGAATGCTACGGAAAATCTAGTGGCATTAATGATTTCTAAAGCTAACAACACTTTTGCATTTAAAGTAATCCACTATTAATCAATGTAAACAAGTCAGCCTAAAAAGCCATAAATACATGCATTATTGGTCCTAGAGAGTCACAACTATGAATTAGAAGTAAATTAATCCCAATGGCTTCTTCTAAAGTTACATTTTGTGCACTTTTATTCATAGCTTTCTCTCTTTCTCTTGTCTTTCAAACTCTTGCTGACAGCAACGTTATTTCTACATTAGTTGTAGACGCTGGTTCTGTAGGAAAGCAAATTTCCAAATATTTTTTTGGAGCATTTTTTGAGGTGAACATTAATTTCATGAAATATATATTTAGGTAAGTTTGATTTGCTCATAACTATTAACCACCATTTACGTAGTTTTTCACATAGTTCTACAAATGATTAGGTGACTATTTGTAGGAAATTAATCATGTTGGAGCTGGAGGATTGTGGGCAGAACTTGTCAACAAGAGAGGTAAAAGCCATTCCCATAATCCTCTCTCTGAGATTTTTCTTCTTTGAATTATTTATAATCAACCTTACACAAACTACTTGAATTGTTGGTTAAGGTTTTGAAGCTGGACGCACAACAATTCTCTCAAGCATCTCTCCATGGACTGTAATAGGAAATAGATCAACCATTAATGTTCAAAATGAACCTACCTCCCTGTTTTCTAGTAATAAAATGGCTGTCAAATTGGATATCCATTGTTCTTCTCAGGCTGAATGCCCTAATGGTGTTGGACTCTCTAATCCTGGATTTTTAGGGCATCATAAGCTTCTCTCTCTGCCTCTCTCTCTCTCTATATATATATAGGAGCGCACACATATTTGAAGATCTAATTGCTGGATTATATATAAAATATCCATTATGTTTTGATACTTGTATATTGCTTGTTACGTTCTTTCAGAATATTGAGCAAGGAAAACGATATAGAGTTGTATTCTATCTTCGTTCCTTGGGACCAATTAATTTGAAAGTGGCGTTTATAGGAGTAGATGGGAAAGAATTGACTTCAAATAACATCAAGTACTTAACAATTCCATTGCGCGTGCACACACTAATACTTCTTATTTGTATACATACACCTCATAATTTATTTTATCTTTTCTAGGGCTCTTGCAAGTTATGTTGCAAGCTGGAAAAGGTTTGAAACTATTTTAGAAGCCCACGCGTCAGATGTCAAAGCAAGCCTCCAGTTGACAATGGACCAAAAAGGAGTTATTTGGTTGGATCAGGTCTCAGCACTGCCTCTAGACACATACAAGGTCTTGAATACTTCATCAACTCACAACTTTAAGCGTATTTAATAAATTACAATGATTACTTCTTCTTTTTTTAACACTCTATACTTTGCATTTTTAATTAGGGACATGGGTTGGGAAAAGGCCTTTTTCAAAAGGTGGCTGATTTGAAACCAACATTTCTTAGATTTCCCAGTAAGCATAGTGCTTAGCATGAAGAATTCTTCAGGCAAAAAAAAAAAAAAGCATGAAGAATTCTTAAAATTAGCATGTTTTGTCAAATTCAATTTTTTCTTTCAATTAAAACCTAACATTCCCATTAGATTAGGTGGCTGTTATGTTGAAGGTGAATATATGAGAAATGCATTTAGGCGGAAGAATACCATTGGACCTTGGGAGAAGAGAATTGGTCCCTTTAATGTCTGGGATTATTGGGTCGACAATGGATTTGGTTATTTAGAGTTTCTTCAAGTATGTACTTTAAACTCTAAATTTCTAAACTGAATATTGTTTTTATAGCCTAATCACTAATCATTATTATTCTTTTGTTACAGTTGTTTGAGGACCTTGGTACGACCCCAATATGGGTATTTAACAATGGTATTAGCCACCATGATAAAGTCAACATCAGTGACATTGGTCCTATGGTTCAAGTATAACTTATATTTAACCCTTGCTTAGTTAATCATTATCTATGGTTTAATTTAGTTAATTTTTTTGTGAATTAATTTTGAGGAAGCTCTTGATGGTATTGAATTTGCAAGAGGTCCTATTACATCAAGATGGGGTAAAGTAAGAGCTTCTTTAGGTCACTCCAAACCTTTTGATTTGAGATACGTCGGTATTGGAAACGAGGATTGTGATAAGATAAACTACCAAGAAAGCTACCTCAAATTCCATGATGCCATAAAGCATGCATATCCAGATATGCAAATTATATCAAATTGTGATGCTACCAAAAAAGCGTTGGACCATCCAGCAGAGCTGTATGGCTTCCATATATATTCAAATGCTAAGCAATTCTTCTCATTGTACACCAAGTTCGATCATATGCCTTGTTTTGGACCAAAAGCTTTTGTTAGTGAATATGCCGTTTGGAACGAAGATGCTGGGAAGGGAACACTTTTGTCTGCATTGGGTGAATCTGCATTTCTTATGGGACTAGAGAGGAATAGGTATGCCATTTGCTTAATTATCAAAATTTCATACGAATCGTTAGTTAGTTAGTTAACCCCATTAATAAATTATTTTCACCTTTTTCTTCCAACAGTGAGGTCATCGAAATGGTTAGCTATGCACCACTTTTTGGTAACACAAACAACCAAAGGTAATTAATGTTGTCTTATGCTTTGTGTTATAAAGTTATCTTTTTAAATTATTAATATTTTTAAAACTGTTTGTAAATAAGTATATATAGATGGTTGCCCGATGCTATTGTATTTTATTCTCATCAAAGTTATGGAACTCCGAGCTATTATTTGCAAAAGCTATTCTCAGACTCTAGTGGAGCAATGCATTTGAACTCAACGCTTAAAGCTCCTTCTTCAGTTGTTGCATCTGTAATTGCTTACACAAGTTTAACGGAAAAGAAGAATTACATAAAAGTAAAGGTAGCTAAATTTAATCCATGATGATCTTTATTTCCGACTAAGAAATAGAGAGGAAAAAACCCTCAAATTTGTGTGCTTTTATCTCATTTGAAATTCAAAATATTTGGTAGGTTGTGAACTTCAATGACAATCGTGCGAATTTTAAGATCACTTTAAATGGGTTAGATGTAACTGCAAAATCAGCAAAACACTACTACAACAGAGACTTTTTGCTTGTGTTTTGAAGGATTTTTTACTTCTGTTTTGGGAAGGACATTCAAAGAAAGGACGTAACTAGTACCCTATATTTGACTTCTGTTTTGAACAGATGAGAAAAGTGGGACTTTTCACGTCTGTCTAAAACAGAAGTAAAACATAACACTTTTATTGTCTGTTTTTGAGAAACAAAAGTAAAAAGTCCCACTTTTTACGTTTGTTTTGCCAAAAATAGACATGAAAAGTGAGTTTTTTTAATTAAAAAAAAGGCATCTTTTTTGGATTGGAAGTTATTCCAGTCTAAAAAACATGCCATCTACTTATTATTATTACATAAAAATTATTTTAAGATTAACATATTTAATAAAATTAATCAGAAACAATTACCGTGCATTCATAATAAAAAAGTCCATCTCATGATCAATAAAAGAGATCATCCAATGATAATTACAATATAAGAAAACAACTAATAAAATAATATGACTCTTTTGTTCAATACTAAATAATCCATGATAACAATAAAACATCAATACAATGACCCCTATTTTCTTCCGGTCTAAATACAAGTATACGTCCATATTTGGTTCTATAGGCGTTTAGCCCTTCAAGTGCTTCCCACAAAATCCCATTTATCTGCGGCAAAACTTAATTATATAAAAACAATCCAACAGTAGATGAGAATAAAGCATAAGATCAGTAAAGGAACCAAAACTTTAAACTTATTGGCCAAGATGAGAATTGAAGGCATGCACTGACCTTTGAAAAGAACTTTTATTCCTATATACTCTGTACAACAAGAAGTACAACACCAAAAAGACGAAAAAGGGAGAAAGGGGGAAGACAATTTAAATTAAGAGTTTTGACACTCTTATGTTCCCTTTCCATCATTAAAAGTTAATCAAAGAAATTAAATCTGATGGAGTCGTAGAGTAGTCTTTTAGTTTGTTCATCTCCACTTACACATGAGAGATTCAGATTATGTACTTGCCTGAGAACTGCATGAACATATAATATATATTTTTTCCCTTCTTTGATTCATCTCTCTGATTGAAAGTTTGATTGCAATTGTACCAATAGTCTCTTATTCATATTCACAAAACAATTACCAACAAAATTTAGATTCAAAGAAAAAGAAAATTATAAAGAATAACCTTAGAAATAATTAATAAAACAATTACCAATAGAATTTAGATTCAAAGAAAAAGAAAATTATAAACAATAACCTTAGAAATAATTAACAAAAATAAGCAAACACATATACTTCAACAATTGAGTCCCCCTGTATTTTTTTTCAGACACAATAGACTACATATTTTGCAATTTTGTGATAGTCACATCAAGAACAGGAATGGAGTACCTTGAAGTTGCTGTCTTTGTTTCTTGAATAGCTGCTTATAATTTTTGGCGTTCTTGAGATGAGGAAACCAAAGGCAAAATGAGAGAAGTAAGACTTGCATGAAAGAGGAAAATAAGAAGATATCTCTGAACTTCCAGACAAAGTCAAGCTAGGTACAAGCAAATATGATGTAATTCATTGTCCCAACTTGCAGCATATGCATATAGGTTGTTTTTAATACATAAAATAAAGAGCTAATAGAGGACGGTTGAGAATTTTCATGGGTATAATCAGTTCACATAGCCTCCAGTGGTCCTTTTAATGTCAAGACCTGAATATATTAATTAAAAATAAAATATTTTGACAAGTCATTATCAATAATAGAACCCCAGAAAAAAAATTGTAATCAAAGACGATCCACATACCAAGTGGTCTAATGAAAGCGTCAGCACATTCCTCATTGTAAGAGTCCTCAGAATCACGAGTGATCTAATAACACTAATGTTTAGCTGTCTGCATTCTGCAAGCTTGGGGGGGGGGTTCTAATGGAAACAATCACGTGCCATAGCTTTGACATATTCAATTATATCAGTATGGTTGTATAAATAATCTTTCCTAGGTATTGATAAAAAATAATCTTTTCTAGATAGGTGTGAGTTTGCAAGATCGGTGTGTTTTTTTGACAGTGCGAATGAGAGCAAATAGAAATTAACATCTCGCACTAGCACAAGCCATAATAATTGGGGCAACGCAACAAAAAAGTTATGAACCCATGGATTCAAATCCTCTTTTATTAGAAAATATAGTTTTTCAAACATAGCAAAGTCGTGTTCCATTTAGGTCATTACTACTGTTATCTCGTGTTTGTCTTCAACCGAATCCTATATAATAAGTTCCTAATAAGCCACACCCTCTCAACATATACCAACACCCTAAGCTAACTGTTTCAAGTAAAAAAAGATTGATTCTTTGTATTTTCTGCAGATATCAGAGTTGCGCTGAAAATTTAAGACGCAGATATGAACCAGAACAAGAATAATATAAATCCTTAACTATTGGATCGACGGAGAAAAAGCAAAATACAGAACAAGCACAAAAACCATGGAGGAGAAAAATCAGGATGAGGCCGAGCAAGATGCGCAAAAGCATGATGGGTATCACCGGCGAAGCTTCGCGTTTTAGCTTCTGGAGACCACGGCGAGAATAGCGTTCACGGTGCGTGCTTTCAACCAAACAATCTCCTACGCACTTCAACCGAACAAGCTCCCTTTCACACCGTGTTTTTCACCGTGATGCTTCCACCCCTGGAGTCGCGAGTGTGTGTGCGGCCAGTGAAGCCGCGCACAATATCAATCTTCACAAAGAGGAGAGGCTTGAGGGTATAGGGTGTGTCGTTGCAGATTGAATTAGCCCTAGAGTTAATACTTAAGCAAAATGCTTGTCTGTTTTAAAAAAAAAAACAGACGAGAAAAATCTCCTATTCTCGTCTGTTTTTTTATAAATAGACGTGAAAAATTATTTTTTCCTTAGAAATTACAAAATTTTCACTGTATTGATTTTTTATGTCTATTTTAGAAACAGACATAAACTAGGGAGGTAAAAACTTTTTTTTTAAATAGTGAAGGCAACAAAGACTGTGCTCACATCTGCTCATGTAAAAGACGAGAATTCCTTCCAAGAACCTACGAAGGTTCATTACATACATCCATACGCACACATGTTATTAATTTGTTGCTATATTAAAATTAGTCTGTGAAAGTGGAGTTTATTTGAAAATTATTTTATCCAAACATTTTTATGTGTGCAGATTGCTCTGGTGCAAAGTCTTATAAGATTGGAAAGGAGATGACTTTCAAGCTTCCTCCAAATTCAATCACAGGTTTTGATTTCCCAAAGTGACGGATCACTTGAGTTTGAAGATAGGGACACGTATGCAATAAAAATTTCATATCCCTGTGGTTTTAAAAAAATGGAAGAAGATCACCCGTATTATAATGGTTGAATCAATATGATAAACATCCCTTGAATTGATTTCAGACTTTTCCTTAGCAAGGCCCACGACCCATTTGCAAATAAATATGGAGTATTTTTTAAGAAAAATCAATTAATTATTAAATAATTAATCCTTATATCAATCTTATAATTAAAAAGTTTAAACTTACTATAGTATAAAAAAGACTATACAATTGGTCTCTACAAGATCAAAACAAATGTGTTTCGAGTTTTCTTTCTTTGATACTGCATAATGGGATTGAAATATATGGACCACACTGTGCAT